CCTTAACTAAATATATATATTCTACCCTCTTCTATGTTGGGGAAATTAGACAAATTAAGTGATAAAACCTTATATATAAATTAAGTTCCAACAGTTTAATCCTTCTAATTAATCTTAGTCAAAAGTTGTCATACATATCAAATGGAAAAAAGGCAAAAACCCAAGAAGGTAGAAGGGGCTTGCCAAAATGCTTTCAATTAGGACACAATTATTAAAGAGGCAGCAGGGCGAATAATGTCCATTGCCAAGGGTATGCCCCCAGCTGCCTCCACGGAAAGATATCCCAAGCAATGGAGCCATCGGAATGCCAAAAATAATTAGTCATTGTTGCACTAAAGTGAAGCATCACTACTTATTTCATGCGTTGAGGCATGAGATTCCATGTATCTTTAGTGCATCTCAACATCTTGTCCCGGTTCTTGTCACACCATAAAACACTACTGCTTCATTATCAACTACTCCTTCCAATAACAATGCATCTGCAATACCATTTCCATTCCGTATGACAATCTTGTCGTGCAAAGAAAAAAAGGCAAAAATAAAATCCTTAGCTTCCTAATGCGCACTACTCCAACACAATGAAAATGCTCATTCGTACCAGTACTCAACTTTGTTTTTTATAGGTATCGATCTTTTTCAATCAAAGCCATCGACCCTGTTTCAAGAGTTTTACTCGCAACTCGCAAGAAATGGGGAGACGTGGGAATATTATTGATCATAGTCTGAATGTCAGTCTTATTATCACGGCCGATATGGATGACCAGTCAATGGTCGTCTAAGCATTCAAGTTTGAGCTTATCAGGTACATATAATATGGTCTCAAAGCCTGGAAAACTAATTCGATACCTCCTCTAAATGGTGTTGCGTTTGCTTTGCGGAAATAGAATTGTCAAATTTTCTTTTCTAACAGTAATACACGATGATCAGTTGGAAAATATCGTAACTTGGCATCCAAGGGAAAGAAGAGAATACGTACATGATCAGGTTGATGCATGGTCCTTGTCATGTGAAAGGTAATGAATATAATAGTGGATGACAGCGCCACTAATTAATGGCAATGCTGATAGCCATACAATCTCTTCGGGACAAGTGCATTGGCTAGCACACAACTCATCAATCGACGTACTATATATCTTTTTTTGTCAACAAGCATAAAGTCATATTTGTTGTGTGTGATATGTTTCTTCCGCTTACTTAATATGACATTGATTTTATGCCCTAGTATATCGTCATGCATTCAGATTTCAGGCACATGATAGGGTACATTTGAATGGAAAATCCTCTAGATTTTGACTCATATAGAGAAGGGTTAGCTGTTATTATACGTAATTTTACAAATATTTAATTAAATATTCGATAACTAAATACATCATCAATTTATTCATTCCCTTTCAAATCGAACAAATTTTAAAGTAACTTTTTAATATCTATCATTAACTTTTTTCTACTATAAATCCTCATGATGGGACTCATTTCTCTTTCCACCATCAATATTTGTCATCTCAGTCTGCAAAAATTCAGATGAATTGAAAGCGTCGACTTTTCGGTGAAGAAGTTGAAGATTGCTATCCTTAATTGAACTGTTTGGTAGCAGGGAACTGTTTGACAGGTTTAATATATAGGAACCAAATCGATCGTCAAAACATGAAGGACATTCGGCCTATTAATTGCTTGCAGACTCGTAATGGAGTTTGCTAATGATCAAGTTCAACATAATCCGTTTTGCTCTCTCCTTGTGTGGGTCAAAATTGGTGGTATTACATCGAAAAGAATACTTGCTAACAAGTTAAGCTATGGTCTAGACGTAGGAGCTGCATTATTAATAGAGTCGGAGAGGTGAGGTTTCCTCATTTCAGGGACGGAAAGGGAAGTTGGATAAGGTTTATGTATATTAACGTCACTCTTACGACTTCAAGATTCAGGATTTAAAGACACATTTTTTAATTACTTAAAATTAAATATGTTTTATGGGAATTTGAAACCACCATCTTGATAATTATTCGGACAACAAAACGCCAATAGTTGATGTAGGTAGTTGGAAATCAAATCGAATGAATTAACACAACCGGAAGAAGTGCTCACACAAGTGGCTTTCACAGTAACAACTTTCTGTAGTTGACAGAACATGTTCTTGGGGCTTAAGGTTTTGAAAACATGCATGCCAACACAGGCTTCTGTTAACGATTATGACTGGGGATGGAAGTTTGAGAGTCAAATGTAGGTAGGTAGCTCGGTTACAGAGAGACGAAATTGTTGAGCTCCATGCTTGTTGCTCGAAAAAAGAAAGAGAATTTGGCACCAATTAATCATTGGCTTTCAGCAGCATCGGAAGCGAAATGGAATGGAACCTGGCTTTGTAAAAGTAAACAGCAAATAAAAAAAGTTAGGCAAGATTGCATTGATTGGGAGCGCCACAGATTAAGAATGTTGAGTTAATTGTGCATTTACACCTAAAAAGATGGAGGAAATGAGGTATATTGTTAGAATTGTCATTTGCATTCACTCGAATATTTATTTATTAATTGATACATTATTCACTATCTAAAACGTAAATTTCAATCTACCCTTTTTCAATTATAAAAAGAAAATAAAAAGTAAAATCCAGTAAAAGAATTGAAAGTGACTCCTTTAAACAACATTTGGCATCTAAGGTATCGAAAAGAACACTGGGGAAAAAGAGGGAACACCAAAAACATAAAGCAAGGCAACTATTTATGTATAATGAATTAGATATTAGATTCCACAGACGGTGGAGAGTGTACGTACAAAGAGTATAAATCTTCTTAAAAAGAAGCGGAAGATCAAACGAATTCAGGGATGACTGACAAATAGAAGTGAGACAGATTAATGCATTCATTTTACCAAAAGACATGTAAAAGATGAAGATGAATCCAGGAATTTGCAGCGAGACAAGCTACTGAACGTTAAGACGCTGGTGATGAAGCCTCCAATAATTTGCTAGTGTGGGTGCTGCTTTATTTGACACAAAGTAATACTACTGGTCAGGGCAAAATGCTACCTGAAAAATAAAGATGCCGCTGGGTTCAAGCTAAGACCCTTAGACATTGAATCTTAAATTTGACGATCTGTGTTTAGGTGTCTTAATTATTAACTATTATATGAGTTAATACAAATAGGATATGATTAATTAAAAATGTCCAGATCTTAAATATACTAAACAAATAACATAACACAAGGTGCTTAATACTTTCATTAAAACAATCGAATTAAATTTTATATAACTCGACAGTGAATTCAGTATATTTTCATTCATGGAGTTCAATTTTGAAAAAAACAAATTATCTATAATTAATTATAAATTTTTGGCAATTCGATAGCAAGGAGTACCTAATAGAGAAAGGCAGGAGGCATCGTGAGATGAGAAAGCCGATTATTGGTGATTTTTGTTCAGTGCAAATTGCAAACTCTTAGATCAGGGGCACAGTTACAGCATTTTTAAGAGGAGGTTAAACAAATAAGACAATAATAGAAACTTTATATATAATTTAATTCTTATTTACTTAAAAGATTAAATAAAATTCAAAAGATATTGACATATAAAAAAAAGTACATAAACAATAATGAAGTATCATATATATATATATATATATAACTGAATAAAATTATGAAATGAATTTCTCTCGCTCTATGTGAGCAAAAGTGAAAGAAAAAATAATTTTTTTAATTGAAGTAAATTGTCCTTTTACTTTATGTGTTCTACATTAAATGGATAGGTTTTCTCTCATTTTATTTTTTATTTGTATCTTAAATTGTAAATTTAACATATTAAGTTAGAATTTATTTATTGAGCACTGACAATAATGACTCTAATTTTATCAAACGGTTTGAGGAATAAAAATAATTGTTAAATAAAAAATTATTTTAAATATCATTAAAAATATATAATATAAATAAAATTGTATTAAAAGAAATACAATTATTTCATTCTGTCAATTTATATGCATATCTTTATTACTTAAAGTTTGCAACATATATATCAAAATGCATTGATTATTCTGAATAAAAAATAATAAATTGATGCAATTATAAATAATAATGCAACACTACAATTGAGAATAACATAATAATTTATTAATTTTTAAATATTAAAATCATAAAAAATAAAATTTACATAATAAAAAAATATGACAAGTAAAAGATAAAACTTATAATGACACAATAAAAAAAATATAATTAATGATTCATAAAAATTGTGAAAAAAAAAATTTATAGAGATTTATATCGTATGAGTAAATAAAATAAAAATAAATAAATAAATAAATATAATAATATAAATTTAAAAAACTTTAAAATTGAATCAAGCATATAAAATTATTTTGTTATTTTTTATTTATATTAATTATTAAATAAACAATTATTTTAGAGCGATTATTAAGAGAATTTATAAAAAAATTTAAAAAATTTGTAAAATATAATAAAATTGAAAAAATTTTGGGTGGGAGCGAGCCCACTTAAGGAGGGTCCTCCTGTGTCTCAGATTGGGCGCCGTCGTGGCAGTATAAAGCAACTCTCACATAAAGCATAGTATTAGAGATTCAAACTGAAATGTGGTAAAGCGTTCACCATTGCACTGACCAAAAGCACGTAGCTACGTAGACTATCTGAATTTGGTTTTCACAAAAATATAGCCCCAAGTAGAGTCATTAACTCAGCTACCAAGAGAAAAGATTACTACTACTCAAGAGAGTTAACCGGTGTTCCTCATCCCTGCTGCAATTCCATTTATAGTAATTAGC